GACCATTTTGCCTGTCCCAAGCAAATCGTGTGAAAATTACCCCTCTCCTTCCCCACCGTCTCTCTTTCTTCCTTCCCCTCCCGCGCACCGATGAGCCGCCTCTCGCCCGTGCCACTCCCGCTTGTCGCTGAGCTACCTCCCGCCCACGCCAAATCGCGCCGCCTTCCGATCGTTAGGGTTTGGGCCAGCATGCGAGCTCGAGCTCATGATTCAGCGGGGACGAATTCAGCCTTCTTGGAGCGCCGCCTAGATATCTCTTGCCGAGCTCACTCTGCCTCACCCTTTCTCACAATCGCGGTGGCCCTAGGCCCTTGCGGCGCTCGCTTAAGCTTCTCGGACACGGCGCCCAGCTAGCCCGCCACCTCGCTGCGCTTGCGGTGTAGTCGTGCTTTCGACCCTTCGTGCCACTACTGGAAACTCGAATTGTTCATGGGTGATTAATTTTTTGTGTGTGTTTTTTGATGCATGAGAAAAATTATGATTTTTCCGTCGGTTTCAAAATATCCCGACAGAAAAATACGAAAAAACCACGAAAAATTATGATTCATATGTGACAATACACACATGGAAAAAATCAGCACTCACAGAAAAATACAACTTATTCTATCGGTTCTTAAAAACGCACAGAAAAATATACACACGCATAGAAAAATTCAAACGAGCACCAGGACCCCTCCCTTCTTCTTACCTTCCTCCGCACTTGAACCCCAAAGCCCCCTCCCCTCCCTTCTTCTTCCTCCGTTCTTCTTCCTCCGCTTTTGAAACCCCCTCCCCTCCTCCTTCTTCTTCCTCCGCACCTGGACCCCGGCGCCCTCCCCTCCTTCTTCTTCCTCCGCACCCAACCCGCCCCTCCCCCTCCATTCTTCTTCCTCCGCACCCGGACCCCGTCGCCCTCCCCCTCCCTTCTTCTTCCCGGACCCTAGCGCCCCTCCCTTCTTCCCGACACTCGGCCCCAGCGCCCTCCCCCCCCGCCCCCTCCCTTCTTCCTGGCCTTGCCCTCCCGACCTTCTTCTTCCCCGTGCCGTCCCTCCTTTCTCGGATCCGCCCTCCCTCTCCGGATCCGGCCGGTGGCGGCGGATCTGGCTCTGTGGTGGCGGGGCGGCGGGTGGCGTCTTGTCGTGGCGGCGGGCTTCATGGTGCCGTGTGGTGGTGGTGGTCCCCGGCCGCCCCTCCCTCTCCCGGATCCGGTCCTCCCTCTCCCGGATCCAACCAGTGGAGGCCGGTGGCGGCCGGATCTGAGCTCTCTGGCTGGTGGCGGGCGGTGGGCGACGTGGCGGCATGGCGGCGGAGCTTGTGGTCTTTGGCGTGGTGGTGGTGGTCCCCGCGCCGCCCCCCACAGCCTTCTTCTTCCCGGCGCCCCCCTCCCCGGCCTTCTTCCCGGCGCGCCGTCCCCTCCCTCTCCGGATTCGGATCCGTGCGGATGAACTACATCGCTCTTCAAGAAAAGTTTAAAAGCACTATATAGGTATGTGAGCTGTAATCTAACAAGGAATTTGGATTAAACTGCATATATGTTGATTTGCTTATTATTCTTGTTTTTTACGCTTTGGCCATGTGAAGTTATTCACTTAAATGAGAGTTCGATCTAACTCTGAAGGATGCCATTATCGTGCTGTGTGGATAATAACCTTTTAATTATGCCATTTTTGTATTTTTATTCTTATTGTCTATGGTTCACCGTGTAGGATTATGTATAATGGCTAACCACATCTTGATTACAGATACCTTTTGAAAAGTGTGCATACTAATTCGAGAAAAGTGTGCATGCTAATTGCCATTTATAATTTATATATGGTTTGGATACAGATCAAGCTTGAACTCATCGGATATTTTAGAAACTGCATATGTTAGGTCAAAGCAAACTAAAATTGAGTCTCAGAAAATAATTTCAATTTAATACATCCTCACGTAGCAAAGCTAGGTGAGAGAAGCTTCGAAATATGTTCTGGAGGCTGCAAACCTCTTTCATTTGAATCATTAATCTATTGTACTATAGTTCTTCAATAGACTTGAATATATTTTTTATGTCCTACTCCTAACATGGAGTGTTGTTGCTTTGTTGCTCGCATAATTCTGGAAGCAAGTTCCTCCAAATGAACCATATCGTGTCATACTTGGTGATGTCAGGGATAAATTGTACAACACACGTGAACGTTCTCGTCACCTATTGTCATCTGGAATTTCTGAGATTCTAGAGGAGGTAACTTTTACTAACGTTGAACAAGTTTGCTCTTTTTTCTGTGATATACATATTAGTGACTGCAGCCATCATACTTATAGTAATCTAATTACCACCTTCTATGTTGCGATTTTAAATGCACACGCTCTCCCCTTCCCTAACTATGTCTTGTGACTTTTTTTTGTTTTGTACTACTACTCTTGAGTGGTCATGATGAATCAAGTTTCCATTAGAGAAGTTCAGCACTTTAGCACCTTATGAGCTGGTACTTGGGATATTTTGTTCATTTTGTTGCTTAACTAGGATGGCTTGTACCAGTACAAGCAACTAGTTCTGTGGCCCTCAGTCCCTTTCTCCTTTCTCACCCGTTAAACAAACCCGTTCCCGATGAGAAGTCGCGGCTCATGAAGGTTTCAGCGGCTTTGGCAATGGCGTAGAAGCTACCGTCGTCGTGCGTAGCTCCTCCTCCCTCCTTCCTGCTCCCCACAGGCGTGGCTCATCCTCCTCCTTCCCGCTCCCCCTCCTCCCTCCGCCACACTCCGGTGCCCTTCGTCCGGCGTTGCCGGCTAAGGTTCTTGAGCTTCCTCCGGCGAGCTCCCTCCACGCGAAGCGCCTTGAGCTTCCTTCGGCGAAAGCTCCTCTCCAGGCGGCTTCCTCCGTGGCGAGGCGCTCTCCACCCAGCGCCGCCACCCTCCTCCAGCGCGCCCTCCACCCTCAGCGCCGCTCCCCGGGGGCCACGAGGTCGGTGCTCGCTGTTGTCGTCCCCAAACCGCCACAGCCCTCCACCGCCTTGCCTTGGATCTGCTCCTGCAGGATCCATGAGGGTTGCTCGTCCTACTCGCGCTCTCGCTTTGGGATCTGAAAGCGAAAGGAGTCCATGGTGGACGAGCAACTTCGGCGACGACGCTTCCTCGCCGACGTCCACAGCTCCGTGTGTGCTCGATGGACGAGCAACTGGGCGGTGGCGTCTCCGAGCATCTCGACGAACGAGCAAATCCCGTGGCTCCCATTCTCCGTCAGTGCGTGTCCCCGCCGCCACGGGCATCCGGGCCAACCACGCCTCTCCTCCGCCCTCCTCTCATCCCCGCCATGGCCCTCCTCTTATCCCCTGCCACCCACGGAGCTCCGTCCCCGCCTCATTGTCAGGTGATTCCCACCGGCGCCATTGCTTTCTTGAGCCAGCAGAGCAGCCACTAAACGAGTTCAAGAGAGCACTGTGTTTGATTGGAGTAGCTCTGTTCTTTGCCAAATTTCTCTGAATTTTTCATGTAAAATTTTTAGTCGACCCTAATCAAATTTGTTCTTGGTATATAACTCTACCAGTTTGGTTCAAGGGCAGAGATCGAATTCTTGGTATATAACTCTACCAGTTTGGTATATATCTCTGTCGGATGGCGCTCCTCCTCCTCCCTCGTGCTGGTGCTGCCTACGACCCGGAGCCGTCGCCCTCCCGCGCCCGCGCACGCACCGACGACGAGGAGCCACCACGGGGCCGACCTGCCGGCTCGTGCACGCGGCTCGTTACATCTGTCATCATTATGAACCTTTTGGTCCCAAAATTTTGAATATTTATCAATATTAAATCTGAGTTCAAATAATTGCAAGTTGTGCCAAATATGTTTGACCAAATTTAATCAATTATCAACATATAATAAAAAAAGTCTAATTCTAAATCAGGGTAAAATAACAATTAGGCATAACAAATAGGGGCAAAATCGTATGGGCATTCATATCCTTTTGTACAAAGTTTAACACCGTTAGGGGTAGATGAGGAAGCAGGGGCAAACTGGTGCTTCGTTTTAAAATCATAGGGGTAAATTCACAAAGTAAAAAAAACAGGGACAAAATCACAATTTCGATACAAAACAAGAATACAAACGCAAGAGTCCCAAAAAATAATATACCTTCTATTAGTCTTTTCAAAGAAGCTATTGCAAAGAAGTCGTTCTGCCAAATGTTTTCTACTGGGCTTCAACTCTTTCATAGAAGATACTCTCTCCATTCTAAAAAATGAAGTCATTTTGGACAAGGCTTGATCAAACATTAGAAATATAAATCATAAATAACTTTTAAGTCGTTGAGTTTGGAAATGTAAAAACCATATGTATAGATTTGTCTTAAAAAATACTTTCATAAAAATTTACATATATCATTTTTTATAAATATCTTTATAAAAATAAGTAGTCAAAGCTATGCTTTGGAGACCGTGTTGCTGTCCAAAACGACTTCATTTTTTAGTATTAAGAGAGTACATCTTAGATAAGGCCTTGTTTAGTTCCTCCCCTAAAGTTTAGTCCCTGTCACATCGGATGTTTGGACATATGTATGGAGTATTAAATATAGACTAAAAATAACTAATTGCATAGATTACGACTAATTTGCGAGATGAATCTTTTAAGTCTAATTAGTCCATAATTTAACAATGTGGTGCTACAATAAATATATGATGATAACGGATTAATTAAGTTTAATAAATTCGTCTCGCGGATTCCTGAGAATTTATATAATTTGTTTTATTATTAGCATCCGAATACTCTTATGCAATACTACATGGGATAACCAACGTGACATCCCTGGCCCTGGCTATAAATACCCGATGAGCCCCGCGGAGGAGCCCGCCGGCCTAGTTAACGGCACAGCACTAGTGAACTTCCACTTGGTTGGTTGACTGCTCCGTATTGCTTGCTGGCTGCTGCGCGGCTAGGCTTTTGCTCCTCTGTCCCCTCCGACGCGGCGGCGGCGGCCAGGACTTGAGGAGGAGCCAGAGAGCAGAGGAGCAGGAGAGATCGACCAGGCTGCGAGGAGGGTCCGGGTCCGGCCAATGGCTCCCAAGAGGGCGCTGTTCGTGGCGGTCGGCGACGGCGGTGCGCCGCCGCCGCCTCTGCCTCCGGAGAAGCGCCAGCGGGCGGGACCGGCTCCCAGCAGGAACAGCCCCGAGCTGCCGCTGCCGCCGTCGCCGAAGCACTTCCTCGCCATCGCCCTCGTTGTCCTCTTCTTGAAACGACCGTGCGTGCCTTCTCTGTGTCTCCCTCTCCCTCCCCCTCCCTCCCTCCCTCTCTGATGTTGCATGCCGCGCTCGTGCAGGAAGGGTCGGAGCACGGACAGGGTCCCCATCTCCCTCTCGCAAATCGGTCGCGTGGTGAGAGCAATGCATTACCATCCTTCCCCTGCTTGGTTTGCTTCCATTTTCCTGCTGTGGATGTACTTGTACTAGTACGTCGTACCAATTCAATCCGACCCATGAATAGGGTTTTCATTGTTGGAAAACAAAATTTACCGAGGGTCATGGATAAACAGGAAATATCGGGCCAAATTTAAATAAAATTCAACTTAAATTTAAGTAAATTCAAACAAATTTAAGCAAAATTTATATGAAAAAGATAGATTATTTCTTATCGGCACCTACAGATAAACAGGATATATCGGAAATATTGGGAGAGTGTTTCTTCTAATTGCTGACTTTCTGCTCGCCTCCTTGCAGTTTATTTATAGGAACTTCTAAGTATGATGATGATTATTGCTGTTTTTTTCCCCTACATGTGTTTCATTTTCATCTCTATCAACTATCAGAGTTGTGTCATTATGAAAGCATTCCATGCTTGGTTACTTGACTGAGACTTACTGTATCTGATACTCATATGATTGGACAGGTTGGGGACCAGATTTGTCGTTTCATCAATCCCGTGTTTAGGTGATCCATCTACTCCATTTCCCTTTTTCCTTCGGTGTTTTTACTACAGAACCCCTGAAATTCGGGGTTAGGGGGTTGACTGGCAATTTGGGTGCAGGAAACTGGAAAGAATCGAGGAGCGGATTCAGGATCTCACCGTCAAAGTGGTCTGGCCTTATTTCCATATTTACATGCTTGCTCACTAGTGTTTCTGTTGAGATTCTTTGTTGGTTGTTGCTTGCCCAAATTTGATCATGAGTGTCAAAACAAGATCATTGTTTTGTTGTTTTCTTCCTTTTGATTTGGCAGACACTCCTCATTTATTGTTGCTACTTCTTGCACCTAATGCAGGATAATATAACACGGCCCTCTAATAACCTCCTCAATGATGAGCAATTCACGTATGGGGCCTTCTTTTCTGTCCATCCTGGTGGTACAAACGTTCAAACTTTTCAAGTAACTAAACCCCAATTTGTTATTATGTCTTGTTTTTTGTTTCAGCCAAGAGGAAAACCAGGAAGGCACCAGTGCTGAACCTGCAGGATTGGCCACTGCTCAAGGCAATTGTGAAAACACCAGCATTCGGCTGCGCTTCCTCAATGGACTGAAGACTCCCGTCTACCATGACGATGAGGTAAAATCGGAGAGCAATACAGCCATTAAGGTTGGCATATTTAATGGAGACAAGATGATCGAATCAGGCGGGCTTTCAAACCTGCAAATTGAGATCTTCGCCCTTGAGGGCAACTTTCCTCATGCTTCCCCAAAGAGTTGGACTCCAAAGAAGTTCAATAAGCATAGAGCACATTCGCGTGATGGAAACGGAAATGTGTTGGCCGGTGAAGGAACAAAAGCCCAGCTTAAGAATGGAAAGTGCGATCTTGGTAGCATCAAATTCACAGAAGGGTCGTGCAAGGCTCGCGGCGGGAAGTTCATCATTGGGGCAAGAGTTTGTGAGGGTGAGGTATCGGGTCTCCAGGTTCAACAAGCCGTCATGAACCCTGTAGTTGTGCAGGATCGCAGAAACAAATGTAGGTTTGTTGTCATATCCGTATAATTTCATCTTATTGTTGCATGGCAAAGTTGGAAGACCATTTATGACATACAACGACGGTCCAACAAGATTCATAGCATGCACTCGATTGCTCTTTGATTGATTTGTGACTGCAGGCTAACAGCAAGTTTTCCCATTTTCGTTTCTTTTTACAGCAAATGAAAAGAGTCATCCTCCAAAACTAAATGATAGCGTGCATCGTCTGGAGGAGATTGCCAAAGTTTATGCCGAAAGGCTGGAGAAGAAGAACATCTTTACTGTGGAACAGTTTTTAAAGGCTTTAAATAAGGACCCTTGTAACCTCGCCAAAGTAAACTCAACATTTTTTTTTATCAAATCTCAAACATTTTCTTTCAAAACTCTCAGTCAGTTTATTTACATCACATCATTGCTATTCCTCGGTATGTAGATTCTCAATGTAAACATGGAGCACAAGCCCTGGAAGAAAATGACAAAGCACGCTAGAGAGTGCTCTCTCGAAGGCAGGCACAAGCTGAAGTTATTTATTTGCACAGAGAAAAATGTGAAGCTTTTCTTCAATTGTGTGCACTATCTTGTTGGGGCAGAATTTTTTGGTGGTCCTTACACTCTCAATGACAAGTTTAGTTCTGCTCAACGGGTACAAGTTTTCATGTCAACATATTAGACTCGTTCGCCACTTTCTTCATCCAAGTGAATATGTAGTGTGTATGTTTAATTTGTCTGCAGGAGTTAGTGGACCAGCTGATAGAGGGCGCATATGCTGAAGTTGATAAGCTCCCTGAGGATCATGTAATGACAGACAACTCTCCAAACCCAATTCATGTGGATAAATATACTAGCATTGGTGCTGGCCCATCCTATATGCCAAGTGAACAGCCAAACTGTTCTGTTCGCCTCGCATCTGTTCATGGTTAGGGAATACTGGTTACTTCTCTTCTTATACTGCAGACATACAGAATTTGATGGTACCCTGATACTCACGATTTTTCTTTGAATTGTTAGGTACGGCAGCAGCTGAAAGATTGAGCCATGATCCGACTGAGTCATCTTGTCCGAATGCATACAATGACCCAGTTCCCAGCTCCTCCATTCCTGATCACCCCAGCATGCATAACTATCAAGGTGCTTGTTTCAGTCCTGTGATTGTTTCCTTTTCTGCAGAGTGCTGTGTTTGCAGATCATCAAAACGCACTATGTTGTGCGATCCAAGGGGCCCTGATATGGAGACATGCAGTATATTACTATGCAATACCCTGATACAGAAAATCTTCTTTCAGGTGGAAGTGTTCCAGTTGTACCACTTGAAGGCTTGAGCCATGATCAGCACAATGATTTGTTACGTGCAAATGCAAACAATAATGATCCTGAACCTAGTTCCTCCACTGCTGATCACCTCTGCACATATGACTACCGAGGTACTGTACCTGTTTCAGTCCTGAAACTGTTTTAGTTTCTGCACAAGCTGCCTTGCATAGCAACTTCTAATGCTCTGGTCTTTAGACATAGCAGATCAAGGGAACCCACCTGCTGGTCAGGGGCAGTTCTCGGCTTTCACTAATGCCCCGTGTCAAGATCAAGACACCCTTGGAGGTGCGGCTAATATAAGTCAATTCGTTTCCCCTGAAGTTGTCGAATTGACATTTCTCCAGCACCAAGCAGGCATTAACAACTACGGTACGGCTATTTTGTAATACAAGTTATCTTCAGGCCAAACACCTGGCACAACTGCCTATCTTGCAAGTCATCATCCCTTTGCTTCCTTTCCTCCTTTTTCTGTTGCAGTGACACCAGGCTTGGATCTTGTGGAAATCCAAAGTCAGTTTTTCTGGTTAAGCAATGGCACCTTAGATGGATCAACTTGTGGTCACATCAATACAGCGTTACCACCACAGCAACCTATAATCCCTGGTATGTCTCTCAAGCCTTCTCACCATCCTTGGAAAGCAGGAAAGGTACATTTCTTAGAAAATGGAATTGTTTCTGGCCTCTGCAACCACACACAACCAAAGGTTCCTAGAAGGTACCACTGAAAATTGGTACTGTAGGTACCAAATTTGGGTACCGCCGGTACTAAACTCAGATATAAATTTGGTATCTCTTCCAAGGTCAATTAAAACCCTCATTCTCTCTTCTTTCACGCCTCTCTCGATCTCAATTAAGTGGACAAGCCTATACCAGGGCAGCTCCGAAATATAAATTTGTTGATTTGGTAAAACAAAAACATTCTGAAAAGGATAAGGGAATTTTCTGCTAATCACCAAGAACTTGAATTTTTGTGAACATGATGAAGAATATTGAAATACTGATTGCGGTGCGCATTTTATTATTCTTATCTTTCTTTTACTTTACAAGCAGCAGCTAATCCCTTGTTTACATTGGTCTAATACAGGTACCCCAAGATCAGGTCAAGGGAGCACACAGAGCCAGATGCAAGCTCCCTTGGCCCCCACCAATGACGCCTCAGTGGCATCTGCTTCTGCTCAGCAGGCCCTTCCACCACAACAGTGTTATCCCTGGAACGGATCATGGTGAATATTGGTATGGTGGTCCTGCTCATCATATCCGAGGATCAACAATCTTCGCCTTCGGTATCCTAGTAGCTCAGCGTTGATCTGATTTCATTCTCAGGATCTCAGGTTATTGCGTTAGCAGCAAGATTGCCAAAAAAAACAACTAGATCGTAATGTAATGTAATGCGTTGTTTCACAGCATGTATTGTTTTTGCTCTCTTGTGCCTGTAATGCAGAACATGTACTGTGGTGTGTGATTCAGCGTCACTGCTATAGGTTACTGCCTGTACATATGTCAACAGCCAACAGGAAACATATAAGTGTGAGTGTGAGTCACACCATATCCTTGTCGGCTGGCAACTGGCATGTCCCCAACCGCCGCGCCGCTCCCCGACTCACCATCACTATTACACGTTGTTAGGAGGTTTGCTTTGCTCTAGCTTTAGGCTACATAGGGTGTTTACCTGTAAACTTACCCTCTTGGTAAAAGGCTACAGACTTTTTTCTTCGCTGAGTATGAAGTGTGCGAACTGGGAAATAGCTACTCGCAGTCGCAGTCGCAGGCGAGCCGCGGACTCGCGCACCCGCCCCGGGCGCCCCGCTCGCCTCCTTCCCCACCCGCGACCGAGAGGCAGCGACGCGCAGGCACCAGGCGCGGATGGCATCGACCATCGACGGCGGCGCCGCGCCGTACTGCCAGAGCCCCGGCGGCGCATACCGTCCTCCCTGACGAGATCTGGGGAGATCTTCCTGCGCCTCGACGCCGCGGCCGACCTCGCCCGCGCCTCCGCCGGCTGCTCCTCCTTCCGCCGCATCGTCTCCGACCGCCGGTTCGTCCGCTGCTTCCGGTCCCTCCACTCCCCTCCAGTCCTCGGGTTGATCAGATACGGATACCGAGAATTCCTCCCCGTCGGACGGCCCCACCGCTCCGCCCCGGAAGCCCGCGCGCTCGCGCAAGACGCCGACTTCACCTTCTCCTTCCTCCCCGACCCCAGCGCGTGGAGCTCTCGCGACGCCCGCGATGGCCGCGTCCTCCTCTCCCGGCGCATCTCCGCCGCAATCGCCTTCGAGGATTTCCCTAGTCTGCGACCCCTTGCATCGCCGGTACGTCAAGATTCCCCGCATACTGGACGACCTACTGGCGGCCTCCACCCCAGACAATGGTACGGCGCGGCATCTGTTACCCGTTCTGGCTCCAACCGGTGACAATGACGAGGAGGAATCGTTCAGAGTTATATGCACTGTGCAGGACAAAGGCAAACGCAAGGTCATGGCTTTCGTCTTCTCTTCCTGCAACCAGACGTGGCAAGGTATTATAAGCACGATCTATTTGCCTAATGGATTTATTGGATGCAAGCCCTACTATGCGCACGGCTGCTTGTTCTGGATGTTCTTTGGCAAGGGCTATTCGCTAATGCTTGATACAAGTGAGATGAAATCCTCCATCATTGACCTCCCGCCCCACAATTTTGATTTTGGTTCAATGCATGCCATTGTCGAGGCAGAGGACGGCAGACTCGGGTTCTTAACTATTGGTGATGGCACAATTGGCCTGTATTGCAAGAATTGGCAAAGCAATGGTGTTGGCGCACAAGAGTGGCAGCATGACAAACTGATTCCGTTGCCCAAAGACTCTGGGGTCAACTATAGTTGGGACATTGTGGGCACAGTAGGGCGTTATGTAGCTCTAGTGGCTCATGACCCAATCTGTGATGAGTCGTCGCCAAATTCTGAACTTTTTGTACTGGACATTAAGACATTGCTTGTTGAGAAGCTCTGCACCTTGAACGATGGCATGTTCTGTGGTTTTCCTTATGCAAGATTTCCACCACCGTTGGCACTGCCAAGCATATGAAATGGTAAAAACTGTCTTCCATGTTTCTTCAGCTGTTGGGAATTATATTGTATTGGTGGTTTGCTATGTCATCCTACTTGTTACCAAAGTGCACTTGCTGCTGGCATATCCAAATTTTCTCGTTTCCACCATTGTCACCATGGAGCCCTTGTAGTCCATGTGATCCTTTGGCGTTTTGGATTAATTTGATTTGTATGTCATTTACAAATTTTTTTGGTGTACTCTGTATTCTGTAGCTAGCGCCTGAATATTAGGACAGGCAAATTTGTATAGTGCCTGAATACTTGAGCAGACAAATTGGTCTCTGTTTTTCTTTTAAAAAAAATGCACTGGGTTAATCATTGATATACATTCCTTTTGATAGATTTCAAATTTGCATTAACGGATAGAATGAATAGCTTGTTTCACATGCACAAGTAGATAGGCTCTATTCACTTGTCTTATGAGCCGTACTGTTTCAGCGAAGGAACAGTGTTTTTCTCTCACAACGAATCAGCGAACAGTACTTTCAGCCATGGCTTTTCAGCGAAGCGAACAGGGCCAGTCATCTAACTTTGCTCAAGTCCCTCTTGATTATTCTAACACTGTATTCTTTGGTAGGTCTGCTCTCTTGACTTTGAGGTGACAGAGCAGCATGGTTGGGAGCATCTGTATGGAGGCTTAGCCATGTCATGCAAGACGTCAACAGCTACTAGCACTCTAGCAGTGATGGGCATTCATCTCTAGATGATCGGCTGTTATTTAGTGGTTTAGTCCCCAGAATCTTATTCCTCCTGTTTGTCGTTTTGCCCTGATTTGTGCCCTTAACTATGTACTCATGATTTGTCGAGGTTAGCTGGTACAATTCTGAAGACAAAGAACAAACTGTTAGAATTGGCTTCTTCCCAGCTCATTCATTCCTGATCACCCCAGCATGCATAACTATCAAGGTGCTTGTTTCAGACCTGTGATTGTTTCCTTTTCTACAGAGTCCTGTGTTTGCAGATCATCAAAACGCACTATGTTGTGTGGTGTCCTAGTAGCTCAGCGTTGGTCTGATTTCATTCTCAGGATCAGGTTACTGTGGTAGCAGCAAGATTGCAAGAAAACAATTAGATCGAATTGTAATGTAATGCGTTGTTTCACAGAGTGTATTGTTTTTGCTCTCTTGTGCTTGTAATGCAGAACATGTACTATATATATAGGTGTGTGATTCAGCGTCGCTGCTATAAGCTACTGCCTGTTCATATGTCACCAGATGTATATACCATGTGTTTGGTTTGGGGATGACGTGGGATGGGGTGGACCTAACCCATTTTTAATGGGTTGGGTTGAACCCATCTCTTGTTTGGTTTGAGGTTGGATCGATTCCAGTTCTGTGTTTGGATAGGAGAATATCTAGAAGTAGGTTGGGTCATTGACATGTGGACCCTGTTTGTCAGTGTCTGTTCCTTCGTTCTCCTTCTGCTGAGGCCGTGTGCCCGGCTCGCCTCGCACGACAGGGGCTGAGGCCGCTTGCCCCGCGCTGCCGAGGGCCAGGGAAGCCCCGCGCTGCGCTGCCCACCAGAGCTAGCGCCACCCAGCCCCTCCCCGCGCCGTCGCCCTTGCTCCTCCCTCCGTCTGCTCCTCCCGCTGGAGCTCCCTTCGGGCCACCATGGCTGCGAGCCGGAGGTCGAGCCACTCAGTCCTGACCCCGCGTCGTCGCCCTCCTGTTCCAGACCTGCTGCAATGGCGTCGTGGCCCGCACCGACGGCGGCCGCACCTCGCGACTCTTCCCCGCACGAGCGCGACTGCGACCCAGTCGAACCCACTCCATCCCCTCATTTTGGTGGAATCAGACGAACCGGCATCTCAGGGGAATATGCCAACCCGGGTCGACCCCTTTCTACTCAATCCCCCATCCAAACACGGGTCCATCTGGGTTCGACCCGTTCCAACCCACCAAAACCCTCAAACCAAACACACGGATAGAGTACTCTATAATCTGCTTTGCATATGCTTTAGCCGTGATAGGACTATATATACATCGGTAATGCTCTCTACCAAGCGTCCGAACGGCCGGACGGACGTCTTCGTTGGGCCTGCGGACCAGGTATGACTGACCCATTATTAAAAGAAATGTCACTTCCACCGGGACAGAACCACCTCGTGCCGTGCGCTCCTACGCCTCATGCCTCATGCCGGACCCGCCTCGTGCCACGCACCCCGCCTGTTCCTCGCGCCGTCTGTGCCTCGTGCCTCGCGTCTCGCACTGCGCTCCCCCGCACCATGTCAGAGGGGGTATTTATAGAGGTTCTAGCCTTCGTAATCTATATACAAATGACCATTTTACCTTTCAAATTAATACAACCCCTTTAAACTACTGGGGCGAAGTTGTCTTTTTACTCTTCGCGGTCTTCATTCTTCAGGATTGAATCGTCTCATTCTGTCTTCACCTCTAAGTCTTGAATTGATTTCCTGCCTTGAATCTTTTGTCTTCGCCCTTTGAGCGGAGTCGAGACTTTGTCTTCGCCCCAAATTCTTTTTGTTTGTAGCGAAGTCAAATCCTTGTTAGCGAAGTTGAAGAAACGTCTTCACCTTTATCAGCGGGTCTTCCATGGGCCTCTCTATGCTAAAAAAAAAAATCAGCACTCCTCGTAAAAAGTTTTGATTTTATTTTTTGGTTACTTTAGTCTGCTTATCTTGCAAGAAATTCAGGATATAGTAGTAGACAATATCCTCTGATATGGAAAATCTTCTTTCAGGTGGAGGTATTCCAGTTCCACCACTTGAAGGCCCTAGCTCCTCCCCGTGCGTGGTGAACAACAACGAGGAGAAGAAGGACAACGAGGAGTAACCGGCATCCAGGCACACACAGGCCATCGATTTGCATTAGCCGCCGGCGCCATGCATGGAGCTGAGGCAAACACTCTGCCTTCGGTGGTGGTGCTGCTGCTATTGTTGACCCAGCGGCCGAAGTGAATTCCTCAAACACCAGTAATAACGATGCACTCCATGTATGTATATACGTATAGATTATTATACGCGGGCGTAAAATATGTTTTTTTTTCAATGGTATAATTGACAGAATGGTTGAACATGTTTGAATCGCCTTCCACATTGCACGCGACTATACGTCTATGATAGAGTTCACCGAAGAGGGGTCAGCTGGGGTAGCGTTGCACTTCCATCACCTGTCCTATCTCGGCGCCGGACGGTGTGGGAAGTATCCTTCTGGCAGCCATGGCTCCTCCCTGGTGCAGCAGCAGCGACGGAGTCGGCAATGAACAGCTCTTGGAGATCGATCAGCATCCTGCAGCATGATTTGTCCCAGGCAAGCAACGACGCCTCCCCGGCCTGACATGTTCGCTCGGAGGAATCTGGATGAATCTGAACGAATGTGCGAGAGGAATCCGCCGGCTACAGTAAAATTCAGCCGGCTACAGTGCTTCGTCCTCAAGCCGGAACCAGGGACAAGGTTCAAGATCACACGCAGCCACGAGCAAATCTTGTGAGTTTCTCCAGTAGATTCCTGCACGTGTACGTAGTAAATCAAGATTTGTTCAGTAGTTATCTGGCCGGATTCTAGTTATCCAAACTAGTACACGAGAGTATCACTTGATACGGTCACACGTGCCTCCTCCGCCTCGTTATCGGATAAGGTGGGGAGCAACCACGCAAGTATTGGGCCGGGAAAAACAAATGTTTTATTGTTACCCCCAAAGTCCATGCCCCACTGCTATATCCGCTTGCCCCTTTCGTTCAAAAAACTAAACAATGAGCAGGCATTTTAAAGGTTTCTCCGATCACTTAGAACAATGTGAGGCTAGTCTAAACGATGTTAGTGTGGATCTAGGAGCTACGACATTCTATCAGGCATGGTTAAGGACGGTCGCACATGATTAGCACGTTACGAGAGCTCGCACCATATGATTTGTCAGGGTTTATTGCTGTTGTACCTCTGTCACGATAGCAAACAATAAAAAAAACAATGTGTTAGATCAGGCTAGTCTGAACGATGTCAGTGTGGATCCAGAAGATTCTATCATGCATGGATAAGGACGGTCACACATGATAAGTGTGTTATGAGAACTCGCGCCATATAATTTGTCAGGATTTATTGATGCCTTTGTCACGATAGCAAACAATAAAAAAAAAGACGCCGGCTCATACGTATGCCATGTTAAAAGTTGACGTATGAATCAAGGTGTATATACAGATACAAAGTGATGATGAGCGTAATTTCTTTTTCGATCTCAGTTGCTTCCCACTGTCCGCCGTTCGCGGTTTTGACAAGTCGGCCACAGTCGTCCGTCGTCCACAGCTGTGCCTTGTACACCTCCCCGCACCCGCCGCGCGCGCCTGATCACGGCCAGCGACGCCAGCCCGGCCGCCTCGTTCAGAAACGTCAGTTGCTCCGGCCGCCTGATCAGCTTCGGGGTGAAGATCATGACGCCGGGACACGACCGTTACAGTACTAGCCCGGAGACGACGGCAGCGGCGGTGGTGCCGGCTAGTCCGCTCGCCGGCCGGAGGCGCCACGCAGGCGAGCTGGCCCAATAGAGACATTATATCTTTAGAAAAAAAATATTGGTACTAGTTTCTTTTTTTTAATTAAAATTAGTTAGTTATGGATTTTTATTTTTAGAAAATAAAGCTGTTTTATCAGAAAGTACAAAGTCAACTTTGTCCGGTGGTGATAGTTCAATGGTCAAGATTTCTGGTTTCAAAGTTGCATGACCAAAAACAAACTCGAGCTTCTCTCAAACTTGTATAACTCACTGACTGCTGTTAATCTCAATTGCAATCGCAAGGACGGGAGCACTGACTGGTGTTAAGCTCAATTGGAATGGCAAGGATGGGAGGACAAGCGCATAACAGTCAACAAAATCATGACGTTCGACCCCATACACTGTAAGATCATTAGCTACGCCACTCATGTGGTCTCTACAGCAAAAAAAGAAAAACTCTTCTTCAGGCTCAGATTGATTTCCGGTTGTGTACAAGAAACAACTTGGGTCTCTGCATCAACGGGTGAAATG